AGCTTTTAACTGTCTAAGCATCTTTAAGACATTATGCCACTGCAAGTAGTGTAGCAATTCAAGCAGCCCACGATCCAGTTTTTAGAAATCTTATACTAATGTAAATAACTTTTAAAAATCTCCAGACTCCGGAGTACCGTGTACATGTGCATGTGGTGAGGGACATTGTTCCTGTTTTATTGGATACATATCGTGAATTTTAATGGACCAACCCAAATAGTGGTTTTTATGACTTTTTTAATTCATATATGATGTACCAATTACTCTCCAGGATCCCTGGACAGCTCCTATACGAAAGGAGGACAAGACACTACAACAAGACAAGACAAGGAGGTGGTAAAATAAAAATAAACACTTTAGGGTCAAGATACAAAGTAGACGAGCGTAGCGATGCCAACAAATATTGTTTTAATAAAGAAAGTATAGTAAAAATTTCAGATAACGGAAACCCACGATATTTGCTAGGATGCCGTATGGGATGTGTGGGGCGTAGCCCCAGATTTTTTCATACAAGCTCCGTGCATTATTTGATGCATTTTAAAATGTTAATATGTTCCCATTCCCGGCCGATCAGACTATTTTGGGCCGGCCCGGAAAAGGTCAGTCCGCCGCCAAAAGGGGGGGCCGGGGCCGGGTGTGCCCCCCCCCCCCCCTTAAATCCGCACCTGGGGTTGGTAAAATACTGAAACACAAGCCACTTCCTATCGACTCGGCTTGGAGTATTTCTCTGTAGCACATTCGGTAGAGCGTCAGACTAGTAAACAAGAAGTCTTCTTCTTTATTTTTTCACGGGGGCTCCATCAAAGTTGATGTTTATGACCTCGGGGGTCCTATTGCAGAGGCGTGAAAAAGGGGGTTATTTACAGTGAACAGTTTGTTTGTTTTTTTGTGATTTTTGTGCAAGGTATAGATAAAAGATAAAAGTCCCGGGTTCGATTGCTAGCGGATGAATTTAAAAACGATAATGACCTCTGTAACGATGCAATATTCATCGATTACTGAATATACATGTATTACTGATCAATATGAGTGAACCATGTCTGATATTGTTAGTGAAACATTAGATTATTACCGAAAAAATCAAAACATTAGTCTTAAATATTGCAAACGGTCAAACACTGATGGGGTTTGTCGATATAATCTAGTCACGTGGCCCTTAGGGCGAACGGGATTTAGGACGAAACAACCCGTTACCGTGGTGAACGCGCGTAGTTTAGTGTACTCATCATTTTATTGTGTGCGTAGCAGCATATCCTAAGCAGTGAACTACGCGACCACAGTATAGCATGCGCATGCGTTCGTATAATCATCTCCTTTGTAGCAAGGCCTTACACTGAAGGCAGACGATCCTCCGTTAAAAATCGATATAAATTATTGTGAGGAGCTTTTATTCACGAAAAAGGCATCGACACTGTTCCTTTGAACATTTAACCGGTCATCGAGAAGGATGAGTACACCCGCTGACATGCCTAATAGGAACATGGAAACATCAACGTTTCTATCGGAAAAAGAGGTAAATATTCGTTGTAACTAATGAGTGTCAAGCATGTGTTTGTCTGGTAATGTATTTGCCCATGACACCAGTTCTTTGTCTGATGTCTGAAAGTCAGATGAACATCAGCACGTTTGAAATTTTAAAATCTCCAGATAGATCTACACAAATAGTCAAATACGAAATTCTAATTGGCCGAAATATAAGAAGTCTTATTTTTTATATTGGACATGGACAATTCAAAGTGAGGAATAATGGAACAGGTGTCAGTATTGCGATGAATAAACCTCACCAATTGAAGGGGTTAGATAAAGAACATGATTTAAATCTCAGTGTTATACGGTCCGCTAGCACTGAAGATAGCCGACAACGTTTTCCGAGGTATATTGTATCGCGTTAATCATTCATTATATCGGTTCTGTGCTTACCAAACCACACTCCTTCCCTAGTCGAGGCCGATTGGATAATGTATGTTGATATTTAAGAAGATGTTATTGTGTTCCCGGCTTTGACGGTAACTGATGGTGTTAATTTGGTATAAATAAAACACCATGACACATGCATCTTGAGTCACCAGCTGTAGACTTATGCAAGTCTGTGGGTTCCAGAGTCAAAAATTAATTTATAAATTATTTAATTATGTTATTGTGGTGATAAATTGCAGCAACAGTAAACATGTCAATTAGCATGACACCTGTTGCATTGTGTGACAATGATATACATTATAATAGTACAGCAGTGCTGCATATAACAATGATATACATTATAATAGTACAGCAGTTCTGCATATAACAATGATATACATTATAATAGTACAGCAGTGCTGCCTATAACAATGATATACATTATAATAGTACAGCAATGTTGCATATAACAATGATATACATTATAATAGTACAGCAGTGCTGCATATAACAATGATAAACATTATAATAGTACAGCAGTGCTGCATATAACAATGATAAACATTATAATAGTACAGCAGTGCTGCATATAACAATGATGTACATTATAATAGTACAGCAGTGCTGCATATAACAATGATATACACCACAATTATACAGTATGAAACAATGATATACATTATAATAGTACAGCAGTGCTGCATATAACAACGATATACACCACAATTATACAGTATTATCATGTATACATTATAATAGTACAGCAGTGCTGCATATAACAATGATATACATTATAATAGTACAGCAGTGCTGCATATAACAATGATAAACATTATACTAGTACAGCAATGCTGCATATAACAATGATACACATTATAATAGTACAGCAATGCTGCATATAACAATGATATACATTATAATAGTACAGCAATGCTGCATATAACAATGATACACATTATAATAGTACAGCAATGCTGCATATAACAATGATACACATTATAATAGCACAGCAATGCTGCATATAACAATGATATACATTATAATAGTACAGCAGTGCTGCATATAACAATGATCTACATTATCATAGTACAGCAAATTACAAAGGAATACATTACAACAGTACAGCAAATTACAATGGAATACATTACAACAGTACAGCAAATTACAATGGAATACATCACAACATTACAGCAAATTATAATGTAATACATGATAATAGTACATTAAATTACAATGTAATACATTACAACAGTACAACAAATTACAATGTAATACATCACAACAGTACCGCAAATTACAATGGAATACATCACAACAGTACAGCAAATTACAATGGAATACATTACAACAGGAGTACAGCAAATTTCATTGAAATACACTACAATCACACAGTTTGATAAAATGATTTACTTTATAAGATTTAGTGCATAGCATATTAGTGAAATACACTGAGTGAGAACGGTTAAATACAGATATCAAAGATACAATTATAATACATAACAATACATATAGATGAGAAAATTTATTAAAAAAGTGTCTGAAGAAACAGCTGTCACTTTCAACTTAATTATTGCTTTTAGATTCAGTATCCTTGTCCCAATGTACCATTGTCTCATTCAACCAGACTCTTGTTGTCTGTGCAAGCTACAAGTGCAACCAGACTCTTGTTGTCTGCGCAAGCTTAGTCTCGTTCAACCAGACTCTTGTTGTCTGCGCAAGCCATGCCGAATAGAGAGTCTGGTCAAACCCAGTGCTATTGTTTTGTGAAGTCATAGTGAGGCTTACCCTTTTCAACTTTTAAGTCAGAATTTGAGCGGTGCAAAATCGCATTGAATATTTTAATTCATAAAAAAACTTACCTGTCCATAAAGTATCCATGTTTTCACTATATCGAGAAAACCGAGAAAATGCTTCAAATCTCAAAAATGATTTCATGTATTTTCATTGGATATTTTACAATGGATACAAGTCAAGCCAGATTACCTGAGTGAGAACCTGTAGTGTTTTGAATGGTGTACAGGTAAAATCTCCGTCCGGAAAGTAATAACACTGTTCTCTGGTGATGGTAATTTAAAATACTGTATTTTACCAGACTCTTGAATTACAAGTGATCATGCGTCTGGTTGAACGAGACTAACTGTATCATGGTTTTACCATATATACAGTAACCTCCCCTTATTTTTACTTGTGATGTACCTGTAGCACAGTTTGTCCATGACAAATATATACAGTAACCTCCCCTTATTTTTACTTCTGATGTACCTGTAGCACAGTTTGTCCGTGACAAATATATACATAAACCTCCCCTTATTTTTACTTGTGATCCACCTGTAGCACAGTTTGTCCATGACATATATATATACAGTAACCTCCCCTTATTTTTACTTGTGATGTACCTGTAGCACAGTTTGTCCATGACACATATACACAGTAACCTCCCCTTATTTTCATTTGTGATGTACCTGTAGCACAGTTTGTCTGTGACAAATATATACAGTAACCTCCCCTTATTTTTATTTGTGATGTACCTGTAGCACAGTTTGTCCATGACAAATATATACAGTAACCTCCCCTTATTTTTACTTTTGATGTACCTGTAACACAGTTTGTCCATGACAAATATATACAGTAAGCTCCCCTTATTTTCACTTGTGATGTACCTGTAGCACAGTTTGTCCATGACAAATATATACAGTAAGCTCCCTAATTTTTACTTGTGATGTACCTGTAACACAGTTTGTCCGTGACAGCTTCGTTGACCAGGTAGCTCAGTCTGTCAGAGCAAAGTATAACAATTTGAAGGCCAGGGTTTAAATCCTTCAGTATAACAATTTGAAAGCCAGGGTTTAAACTTGTGTAGTCATGCTGATCTTATTTTATTTTATCTCCATTAGTTATATATTTTTCCTTTAAAAATTATTTATAAAAGTTGAAGTCATTCTGGAAAAATTAAGTTTTGAATGCATGGTTTCATTTTTTTTCATGGTGGTAGGGATCTCATTTAATCACAATTTATTCAATCAATACATTCCAACAACTTGTAGTCAAAACTGTGTGACTGAATATTGAATAATATAGCATTGTGATTAACCATAATTAAAATGGATGTAACAGCAAACATGCCATCTGTTTTTATGATGTAATGATTTGTTTGTTTCCGATTGAAAACTCTCAACTTTGCTGGGTATCTACCATAAAGGTAAAATGTAAAAGATTTAACAATGTTTATTATATATTGTAGGGTTCTCCATTCAGCTTAACCCAAATATTTGATAGGGTAGCACTCTTTCACAGATGTCTGTAGAATAGTCAGAAGTTAACACATGAAACACTCCGTTTGTTGGATATGTCATACTTTGAGCTCTGGAGGCAGTTTCGCTAAAAGTCGTAACTTAACACGTAAACATAGACGTAAGTCGAGTTACCATTTTATTTACGTCTACGTCAAGTACGTTTCACGAAGCACCGTAATTTGAACGTAAACGTAGGTTTAGACGTAGACGCAAACGTAACTTACGTCTGGAACTATTTTTGATGGAGATACAGTTTTCCCTAGCAAAAACTAACAGAGTCTGCGCAATACTTACTTCCGTTTCGAAATGTATTGTTTGTTTGCTAAAAAAAAAAAAGGTGGCTTTCTGTAATTTACCAAATAAACAAACTTATGTTTATAAATGATTTAAAAATTGAGTTTTCCTCGCCAGTTTTTTTCGAGTGAATGTCTCTCTTAGTCAACTGAACTATTTGCTCAAGAACAGAAATATCAGGGGTGACCGGACTCACACAACGACCGAACTTACCACAGTCTCCCCTATTGAAATCCTTATAAATTTGATCATATGTATATTCTTTTCTTCACTTTTGTTTTCATCAAAAAAGTATCAAAAGCTGGCATTGCCACGAATGCCTAGGATAGTTTGACAATCGTTTTCGCATCAAGAAAAATAAGATAAGATAGAAAACTTGTTCTTTGTCGACAGATGTCATGTACCTTTGATACATGTCTGTACATTCCTGTTGGCATTGAATAAAGTGTTTTCATTGTAGGCCTGTCAGATTAAAAAAGCCACCCAAGTAAATTAATCATCACATCACCTTGTACCGTCATCAAATACAATGTATGCATATTAACTATAGAGTGATATAGAGGGGGCAGTATGTATACGTTACTTTGTTCTTTATCTAATTGTTGACAGAGGGGTTCTTGATGACTACATATGTATTATTGATCGTTTGACAGTAAAATGATGATAATAGATATAAATAATTGAAAAAATAGAATGCTGTCAATGTCCCTTATCTCAAAGTCAGTATACTCAATTTTTGTGGGATCCCATTATTGTCAGATGCGAAAAAATGAATGTTTTATGAGATAGCAGAATCATTTTTAATGTGTTTGTAACATTCTCGTTATGGAGAAGAAAATAGGCGACGGTAGACGATGTCATGACTATTGACTGTACAAGATAACATAATTCATTCCTTAGATCTCTGATGAACGCAGATTTGATACGCCTGCTTAATTCAATTCTATTTCGTGATTTAATCCGATCCGTAAAAAGTAAACTGTTTTATTTATAAGTAAGATTGGACTGCTGCTTCCTTATAGGTACAACT